GTCCATGAAAAAAAGGAAGACCCCAATGAGATGGATTAACATATTGGCAGTAGCAAAGGGCTCAAACATAATGACAATTACTTGTAATTCAAAATCCAAAAAGCTTTGAAATTTTCAAGTTTTTTTCCACAAATTTGCAACAAAATCCACCTTGGATTGCAGCTGTAGGATCAGCACTGGACTGCCAACCACAAGGTCGGCAGTTCAAACCCACCAGTTGCTCCTCAAAAACCCTATACAGGACCACTATGAGTCAGAACCAACTTGACGGCACTTAACAACAACAATTTCTATCATGGAGTTCTGATGTGGCACTGTAGAATAAACACTGAACTGCTAACCACAAGGTTGGCAATTCACACCTACTTTCCATTTCTCAGAAACCCTGAGTCGGAACTGACACGACTGCACTTACTAACAACAACAATTTTGAGTCCTGGTATAGCACTTAAGGATACGCATTTGGCCATAAGGTCAGTTTGAACCCCAAGGTTGCTGGTTCAAACCCACCAGCCACTCCTCTTCAGAAACCCTATATAGGGTCACTACGAGTTGGACCTGACTCAACAACAATTTACTGTCTACAAGTCCCTGGGTGGCTGAAATGATTTGCACTTCACTACTAATTTACTAATGAGCTCTTGGTAGCGTAGTGGTTACGAATCGGGCTGCGAACCGCAAGGTCAGCAGTTCGAAACTACCAGCTGTTCTGCAGGAGAAAGATGAGGCTTTCTGCTCCCACAAAGATTGACAGCCTCAAAAACCCTGTACAGGGTCGCTATGAGTCGGAACCGATTCCACGGCACATAACCACCACCAACCACTAATTTACTGATTTACTAATTGAAGAATGGCAATTAGAACCCATAGAGTGCCACAACAGAAGAAAAGTCTGGCAATCTGTTTGCATAAAAATTACAGGGAAAAATGTCAGCATGTGCCCAAAAAATTTTGAAGGCAGGAAATAACAAATAGAAACTAGCAACTCATGGAGAAAATGGGAAGAGCACTGTTGCACTGAGGAAATTGCAACTAATGTCACAAAACAAAATGTGTATAAATTGCTGAAAGGTACACAATTTGCTCTGAAATTTTCCACCCATGCTGCAGTAAAATGTTAAAAACAACAAAAAAATATAGAGAGAGATTTGACACATTGAACACTAAAGACCAAAGACCAGACAGACAAGTTATGGAATGACATCAAGATCATACACAAAGAAAAGATAATTTACAAGACAGGAAAGAAAACAGACCAAAATGAGCATCAGATGAGACTCTTAAAACTTGCTCTCAAATATAAAGTGACTTATACAACGAAGTAAGGAGCTCTGGTAGCATAGTGGTTACGAATCTAGCTGCTAACCTCAGGGTCAGCAGTTTGAAACTACCAGCTGTTCCACGGAAGATGAGGTTTTCTGCTCCCATAAAGATTTACAGCCTTGGAAACCCTGTACTGGGTCGCTAGGAGTCAGAACCGACTCCACAGCACATAACAACTATAAAGCAATGAAGTAAGAAGTAAACCAGCGGAACAGAAGATTACAAAGGGCAACTAGAGAAGACAAAGTATTATAATGAAATGCGCAAAGACCAGACTGGGTGTCAGAATACTAAAAGGGAGGAACACAACTGCCATGTCTCAAATTAAGAGAGCTAAAGAAAAAATTCAAACCCTAATTTAAAGTACTAAATGAGTCTACAGGCAAAATAATGGGCAATGCAGAAAGCATCAAAAGATGGAGACAAAGTCACTGTTACAAAAAAAATTGGCCAAAGTTCAGCCATTTCTGAAGGCAGTGTATGATCAAGACCTAATACAGGAAGAAGTCCAAGCTGCACTGCAGACACTGGTGAAAAAATATTTAAGAACTGACAGAATATCAATTGAGATGTTTCAACAAATGGATGCAAAGCTAAACATACTCACTCATCTATGCCAAGAAACTTAGAAAGTGGTAACTTGATCAAGCGACTGAAGAGATTCATATTTGTGTAAAATTTGACTTTTACAAGTTTTTTCTTCAGGTTTGTTTTATTTTTTCATTACAATGATTGTAATCCCCTCCATATACCATCAGTTAAAAGTATTTCTCTCTATCCACTTTGGCTTTTTAAAAAACAAACACACAAAAGAACCCACTCAGGCATATATAATAATTTACATCTCCAAAGGGCACATTCTGCAAATCTGCTCCTGGCCACCAGCTCTTAGTCCCTCTCTTCTTAATCCATGAATCTAGAGTCCTCAGCCGCTTCCCCTCTCCATGCCCCCATTTCTGCCTCATTCTCTGGCATCGCTGCTTCTCTGGATAAGGTCCCGCATTCTGCTTGTGCATTCCTCTCTTGATGGTCCTAGGGTCCTCTGTTTCTGGACTGTAAGATTAACCACACCCCTTTTTTTGTTACAAAACTTCTACCTTTACAATTGTGACAGTCACGATTAGTCGTGATAACAATTATTCACTACTGAAGCTTATGAATCTTATCCCCATCTCTTTTCACCAGACCCATCTAGACAAGATGACAGCTATTCAGTGGGGACTCTTTCTTTCCCCCCATACTCTTAAACTAAGCTCCCTCTTGAAACCTTGTAAGCCTGTCACTTCGTGCCTTTATTGCCCCCTCATTTTAGGTAGCCAATGTCTAAGTTGCCCATCCCTATCTACCCTGTGTACAGAGCAGATAGCATTGATACTTGATTTGAAGACTCTTTCCCTCTTTGTTGGTATTTAGAGTAACTACCGCTCTGAGTATAGATCAGGTTCATCATGAAGATGCATCATTTGTCACTGTAGCTGTTCCAGTCTGCTTGTCCTTTCTAGTGGGAACATCTCACCTCATAAGGTTCTAGATGGGACTCAGGATTCCACCTAATGTCCTATATTCTGTAAAGACTTTGCACGAGGCCTATTTCACTAGGCAAGTTGTGGAACCCCTTTTAGGTATTCCAAATAAATTTTTAAAAAGTAAAATTTTGCTATAAAGATCACAATTTGAAGTCCTGGTGTGGCGCTGTGGGTTAGTGCGCTGGACTGCAAATTGAGTTTGAACCACAAGGTCAGAGGTTCAAACTCAGCAGACACTCCTCAGAAATCCTATACAGGGTCACTGTGGGTCAGAACTGCCTCGACAGCACTTAACAACAACATAAGGCAGTTCTAGCCTGTCCTCTAGGGTTCTTATGAGTTCAAATTGATTTAACACAACAGTTATAATGCTATCCTGATTTGCAAACTGTATGTGAAATAAACATCCATTTCTTAATAAATAAATAAAAAGATTACAGCCAAGAGAATCCTATGGAGTCAACTCAACAATTTGTTATCTATTCATCCCATTAGCATGTTATTTATATTTTTCAGTATAGAAATATTAATGTGTTTAATCCACAACTTCCAACCAGTTCATTCTGGTTCAACCCCTGCCGAAAAATGCATTTCCACCCCAGATATACTGAATCCGAATCTACAATTTAACAAGATCCCTGGGTGATTCTTATGTATGCATAAGAGTCTCACCAGATCTATCAGAATCACCAAGGGACCTTGTTAAAATGTAGAATCTGATTCAGTATATCTGGCTATGTTAATTTCCTATGGAGAATTAAAATAAGAGATTTACCACACACACACACACACACACACACACACACACACAAAAAGCTCTCACCTTCACAACACATCTAATAATCCTTCAATCCATCTTGATTTCCATCAGTCACCTTACATGTTCCTTGTTGCTGTTAAGTGCCCTACAGTAGATTTGGACTCAGAGACCCTGTATAGGGTTTCCAAGAAGTGACTGGTGGATTTGAACTGCCAAATGTGGTTAGCAGTCCATAATTTATCCTACAGCGCCAATCAAGATTCCACATGTCCCTTAGTTCCAGGGATATGGACACATACCCTGACTGGACCCTTTTATCTTATGAGCTACTTACCCTTTAAGAAACCTACTCAAGGGTTTTCTCTTGAAGTTTTCATCCAACTCAGCACCCACAACCACTGTCTCAAGCAGTATGTTATGTGTGTTTCCTCTATTAAAAACTACCAAAGTGCTCCTCCATGAATATTTTATTCAATCTTAGCACATAACACCAGAAAGACTTCGTTGTTTTTAAGTGCCCTTGAGTCGATTCTGACTCTTAGCGACCCTGTATACTAGAGGCTCAGTAATATACATGAACTGAAACAAACTCATGCTCAGCTTTCTCTAAATCCCTATCTCCTGCAAAGTTCATTTCTCCTTCACCCCCTCAAACCTGGGGATTTTTCCTTCTAACTTTCAGGTGCCTCACCGCTCTAATCCCATGCCCACTTACAATTAGTTACTAATAACAACAAACTAACTGCCATATTTCATTAGTAACGATTATTCATTTTACACATTTTATTTCAAACCATTCTGTCAATAACCCTGCTAGGCAAGTATTCTTCCTTGTCAATGCCATCTCAAAATTACTTTCTACCAGAATGCCTTCTCTTGGCCCAGACTCTCCAATACCCTCCTTTCTTCTCAATTTAATCTTGGTCCTTCTCCCCTAAGTACCAGGCCAAGTGCCTTCCTCCAGGCAAGCTCCCCTCATAGTCGGTCTCCTATTCCCTCCCTTCCCGGGACCCTCCCACCCAAAACGCTTGTCTACAACCGGTTTCCCGAGACCTCTTGTCTCACAGTCCGGGTCCACTCGCTCCCGAATCAGCGCCCAGTCTGAGTCCACGCCTTCCCGGCCCGGGGAGCCCGCACATCACAAATCTCCCTCGCAGCCCGTGTCCCCTCCCCCAGTCTCTCTCCGCCGGAACCCCTCCCTGCACTCGCCCCGCATCTCAGGCGATTCAGCTTCTCTGCAAACCTTCCCAGGGGCCGGATCTTTCACCTCTCAGACCCCTCCGTGTGGCGTGGGTCAGAGCAACCCGGGGCCCGAGCACCTACGTCCCCAGATCCTGGTCAGCTCCGTAAATCTCCTGCGGCCCAGACCTCGAGCAGGGCCTCCCGCTCACCTTGCTGGATGTCGCCGTTGCTGACCCCCGGGATGGGCACGCTGAGCTGGCGCTCCGGCTCGGGCAGACAACGCAAGCAGAAGGAGTGGAGACAGGGCAGCAGCTTGGGCTCCGCCTCACGCCGGCTCTGCAGGCTCTGCTGACACACGGCGCAGGTGTCCAGGAGCGAAGCCGGCGGTGCAGGCGGCGGCCCAGACGAGGGACCCGGAGCGGGAGCCGAGGCTGAAGCTGGGGCCGGCGTCGAACCCGTTCCCCCGGGAACTCCGGGGCCCCCTGAGGCCGCAGGGGCTGAGGCAGTCGGGGCCGAGCCCGAGGAGGCCGCGGCCACCCCCCCGTTGTCGGGCCCAGCAGCGTCGCTCTCCGCGCCGGCCTTGCCGCCTTCCTCCTCCTCCTCCTCCACAAGCACCGCGGCGAGAGGCGGCTCCGCCTCCAACGCCGCGGGCCCGGCGGCTCCGGCAGTTACCGGCGCGCTACCGCTGCCCCCGCCACCGCTCTCAGCCTCGCCGCCGCCTTTGTTTTCCGCCATGTTTTCCTCTTTGA